AGTTATATGGAGAAACAAAGATGGAAAAGGAATCGGAAGACAAGTCTTGTGAGAATCAATGCTCAACAAGCAACATGGCAAATACAGAGAAGAAATCAAGTGAAGATGAATCCTTAAATTAAATTGAATTATGCCTCAAGTCTCTTGAAGAGATAAAAGGAATTTCTTCTTCTTGTGAACTTAATTCATATGCTTTTGATGAATTGCATGATGCTTTGAAAGATTTAGATTTGAGTTTGAGAAAATGAATTTGGAGTACAAGAAAACAATTTCCATACTCAATGTTGAAAATGAAGTATTGATGAAAAAAAAACTGACTTAGAAAAAGAAAATGAAAATTTGGAAAAGGATTTTGAAGCTTACCAAAAGAAAATTGATATTTTGGAAAAAGGAAATTTTGATGTGAAAAGAAAATTAGAAGATTTATTAAATGAGAAACAAAAGGCTCTCATGAATTCCTCATCTTCCAAAATTACCAAATACAATCATTGCACATTCTACAGTTATTGTTCATACACTTGTCCATTTAGAAAATGTTTACCTTATAAATTTAGATAAGTGTGGGTTCCAAAAGGAACTTTGTGTGATGAGACTAACTTTCAAGGATCCAAAGCAATTTGGATACTAAAGATCAAATGAATAATGTCTCTTGTAGGTGTGCTAGCACAAGGAGGATCAATTCTTGAACAATGAATGCTCTCTAGTCACACATAAAGGAAAATGGGTGATCTTTATTCTAAAAGCCTATTTGTTTAAATGAGAATTTTGATTGCTTATTTGTTTAAAGAGTCATTCATTTAGCTTGGTTTCTAAAATTGTTTGCTTTTCTTAATTGAAAACTTTGGTTGCCTATTCTTGCTTGAATATTAAGTGCATAATTCTTTGAGCTTTATTGATAAATCTTGACTATGCAACTTGATTTGATATGATACATGCTATAAGTTGCAAGGAATTGTGAATCTAAAGATTGAGTATGTACTTATATTTGATCGTGAATATATCATTATTCTTATTTTGAGAAAATTGTTTTATCAAGATTGCTTGATTATGGAAAATTGTTTCTATAAATTTTACTCATGTTTTGTGAAATTGTTTCCATACTACTTCATTGAGAAAATTTGATTTTTGAGAATAATTTTGAAATGTAAAGGTTGGATAATGTTATAGAAATATGAGCACACCTGATGACTCACACCCACACCTATTCAAGTAGCCTAAAATGAGAAAAATTGAGTTAAAAAAAATTGTCGTTGATTTCCTTGTGCCTAACATAAGTTGACCATTTGAAAAATCTTGATTTATATTCCAGAACTTGCTTGAATAGTTTAAGATGGTTGATAATAAGCTTGAAAATTTTGACTACCTTAATTGGTAATTTTAAAGCAAAATGAGCTTATATGAGACAAATGTTGTCATCCTTAAGTTTATAATGATTTATCCAGTGGACAAGTTTTTTTCATGATGAAAATACTTATTGACTTGTTCTTATTGGATGTGCCTGATTCCTTCTAAGCTTGAATGGTCATAAATGCATTTTTGGCATATGATTGTGAGATATTTGTAAATGACCTTTGACTTACCTAAACATGATTTATTATGCCCATTACATATTTCATAAATCAGTTAGAGCATAATGAAACAAAATTGACTTACATGGAGCTCATGATTTTATACAAAGCATGTCCAACTCAAATCTTGTATATATGATTTAAGTGCAAAATTTTGAAAATAGAGATTTAGTCTTGCTCGAATGCTTTTCTTGCAAAACCTTTTTGTCCTCCTTGATTGAAAATGATTTATAAATTCTTTGTTTTTAATGATATAGCATGGTTGAGCAAAATTGATTTGATACATGAATTGTATAAATCCTATTTTGCCTGATATTTTTCTCATGATTTATCAAAAAGATTGAAAGAGTTTTCTTAAGCATAATTATGAGTATGATAATTTGACATTGATGATAGTTTAAGCAAAGTACAAACTTTTTGTAATGCTTGAGGCTACAATGATTTCAATGATATCAAACTTTAAGAAGTGTGGCTTATGTTGAAAATGATGTTATAACTTCTTCTTGTTGCAAAGGAATGCTTGAATGAACTCAAGGGCATTTTTGTCTATATGTTGGCATAATCTTGAAAATGTGAAATTTGATGCTTATTATGCTTAAGCTTTGTTTAAAATGCTTGTACATTTTATAAGTTATATTCACACATCATGATGAAAATGAACATGCTTGGGCATATTAGAGACATGATTTTTCAAATGAGCATTGCAACTTTTTAGCACTTGTGAACAATGAGCAATAAAAGCCAAAATTTGAGTTCAAATATTTTTCTTGAAGAATCTTTGATCATACATGTCCAAAATGATGTTCCAAACATGGTTAAAATGAAATTCTAAATTGTTCTCACACAAGTCTATATTTTGAGATAATTGTACCTTGGAACATTGCATGTCTTGTATTTTTTTTTTGGCTTTTTAATGTGCAAGGATCAAGCATAGTTGACTCATACGCATGGCTAGTGTAACACCCCGTACCCTCGTATAAGAGCCAATATGATCTTGTCGGCGAGACCGAGGGTTTATGGACATGAATTTAAGTACGAAAGAGCGGTGATATGCGAAAGGAATATTTTAGAATAAAAATATTTCGTACGTGAAGACATGATAATTAAATAATAATAGTTTACTAAGGATGAATTAGCGAGATAAAAAGGCAATTCTGAAGTGAACCAAGACAAAATGAGACATTTTGGGTCCCGACGAGACAAGTTAAAAAATTTAAATTAAAATAATATTTAATTAATAAAATAATATTAAAATATTAGTACTTTATCTGTGATTGAAGTTAGTCGTGAGGAAGTACATGACTAATCTAAGTGGGAGAGAAGAAGCAAGAATGAATTTTGAAGAAAAATGACATTAGAGGGACTCGCTTGCCTTTATTAAATAGAGCACGAGCATGTAAGTATATATTTAAATATTATGGTGACACATGTAAAGGAAAGAAACTAGAAGGACATTAGAGATTAAGAAATGTTGGAAGGACCGAATTATAAAGTATGAAAGTTTGGAGGGTCACATGGTAAATAAAGAAAGTTTTGAGGACTTAAGTGTAATTTTTAATATTTAAAGTTAAATAGGAATTTATTAACCAAGGAAAGTTAAATTATGAGGAATATAAGATATACATGTAAAAGTTACCATTACATGCAAACTATGGTGTGCCCAAAAAGGAGAAGTTAGTAGGGAACATGTGGGACCCCCACCATGTGAAGAAAAAGGTAAAGATAAAGTTAAAGATTATTTGCATGTCATTTCATTGGTGCATTTAGTGGTGAAATGAGGAAAGTGAAATATGGGTTACATGAGACTTGATTGGTGAGATAATTGACCAAATAAAAATGAAAGGAAAGTTGTGCATAAAATGTAATTGGAAGAAATAGGTGGCAAATGGAAGGATAATTAAGATAGATTTTGGACCAATGAGCAAAAGGGACAATTTGTGCATGAGATGTGAGTGGGGAGTGTAACTACTTCTTCCCCTCGATCACTATCGACGTTCGAGACTTGTGAGTGAACTCACCAAATCTCAAACAAGCCTTAATTTGATCTCCACATCACCTCACATATTAACACCAATAATTATTTACATCAATTATTCACATTTAATTAAAACATAACTATTTGATACAAACATCTAAGTTTAATAACTACATGTACAACCAGTCATAGTATTTAAACATTTCCACATAGTCTTACGCTTTAACATTTACATCTTTATAGACTATCGATTTTTACACCCCAAATTATTTTATACACAATGACCTAGGCAGCGGAGTGACCAGGAGTGGAAATCTAGAGATGCCATACCTAGGGCATAGTCACCCTCGATATGTTGAACACAATCTTAAAGCTGATCATTTATTTGCAAAAGAAAGTAAAGTGGGGTGAGTCTCACAGACTCAGTGATCATCGACCCCGTGAGTAAGGCGTAGATGGGAAACAAGCTCAAATATGGGAAAGAATTGAAGGTCTAAAAACATAAGAATATACATACACCAACACTTTATTCAAAATGGGAATTTGAGCCTTATATGCAGTTAAGTAAGTTTGTGCTAATTAACTATTCAAAATGGGTTTAACTATCACCATGCCTAGAAGTAAATCAATGCTGTCACATAGGTAAAAAGGAGCAGTTGCAAACTATTATTTTTCATCGTGTAAAAACTACTTACGTAAAAACAAAAAGAAATATCATTCTCGAGTAGGTACAAAATAACAACACGTGGATCCATTTCTACATCATAACATTTGGGAGCTCTGCTCCACCAAATCCCCACAAGCCATGGCTATCTCAACGATGTTGGCCGACATCAGAGAAAAATCAAGCGATCGCAACTGCATATAATCATTTCTGGCCTAGCCACATAAAATCACAGACCTTGGCCCCAGCCATGTCTAACAGCCCATCGACTATCCAAAAGTTCTCTATCTAGACCTCACTTGTGCACAAGGGTCACACTTAACCGAGTGACAACCGACCTACTCTCGAATCTCTCGATTTAATAAAACTATTTAAAAGTCAAATTGAGTTTCAAAAAGCATTTTCAAAATACCGATCATGGTAATACACTAAAACCTCCTTTTGTATCACCTTGCCATGTAAACCTTTTTGCCTAGGGTAAATACCTAATCCGCATGGTGAATA